GTACTTTTATATTGTGTTTATCCTATTCCCTTCCACTACAGAAATATTAGCTGATATCTCAAGCTAAATACCAACAAACTTTCTAGGTTAAAAGGATTTTTAAACTAGATTGAAGTATTTTTAATCTATCCATTACATACAAAAACTCTTTCCTCTTTGTAATTTTAGTTTAAATAAAAAAAGCGTTTTATTATTATTATAAGAACATGTTGTGTAGAACAATATTGAACATCCAAAACAAAGTTAATTTTAAACAATTTTTTTACCCTAATTCTACTTTCATTCCAACAAAAGTATGAGGCTATCCTGAAAAAAAAAGATCCTTTTTGCGGTACCCCTAGAAACCATGGTCATTAAATCCTGATTAATTAATCACTATGTAGCAACTGACCTGACTTGATCATCCTTACTAATGTCTATAAACGTGAAAGTGAGTTTGTTTGTTACCTTACAGCGCTTTAATGCCTTAACTAATTATTATGAAATTTGGTATACACGTACATATAGTGCGTAGCATATATCGTTCTCCATGCTGCATGATATCTGCTACTTTTTATCCCGGTCAATAAATATATCCCGGTTACGTGGACAAGTCACGTGTCAAAGCTAATTATCTATAATCCCTCTGTATCCTTCTGATGTAAATCAATAGTGTAGGCACAGTTTTCATTTCATTTTCATTCATAAGAAGAAGAAAAGAACAGTGATACTATTAATATTGAAAAAACACGACGTAGCACTAACATAAAACTAATTATTAAATTAATTATTACAATGTATAATATAAAATAAATATTACGAAATTTATTTATTTAAACTATTTATTTATTTATTATTACACACATAGATTGCAACAAGCAAATTATTCAAATAAAAAATATACAACAAGCAGACTTCTATGTAAGAGTTCTCTTTCACCAAACTCTAAGTAGAAATGAGCATTATATTTACATATATATAAAAAAGCAATTTTAAAAGACGATGCTACGAAGGTGAAATAAAAGACGATCTTATCGTTAAGCAATCTCAACCTTTGGCTAGAGGACATTTAGAGCAAAAGGTAAGTACAGTCTTTTAATTAAACACATGTTACTTACCTAAATATATTAATTTATATCGGCTTTACTAACATATTTAACATAGAGCTTGCCTTAATCTTTGCGCTTTATTTAGAGCCCAATTTATGACTATGCAAAACAAGAGGATTCAATATATGTATACTCACCCTTATTGATATCACAGTTTAATGAACACAATGTGTTAATATTATAAACGTAAGCGACTATCTGTTACGTGGATTACTGTTTTATATATTCCGTAGATGTAACATAACAGCGTGTATTTTATTATAGAAAGTTGCTCATAATGGCTAAAATCGTTAAGGAGCATGTTATAAGTACCTACTATCAATCATATAATATCACATCAAGATTAATTTGTCCATTTATGATGCTACTAGCTTTTACTCGCGACTTCGTCTGCGTAACCGGGATATGTTTACTGGCCGGGATAAAAAGTAGCCTATATTTTTTTTAACTAGAAGGAGACTTTGTACAAAAATTTTTTGCTTGACTACCTCTGTCCCATTCATGTTTCTACCGTGAAGCAGTTATGTTTACATGGTTGTGTTCCAGTTTGAAGGGTGGGATATGGCAGTGAATTTACGGGGTACAGAGGAATGGAAGTCCTCAGGAATGGCAGCGCATGGGGGTATCATGGGCGAAACAGTATACTCTGTTATGTTTACGGTATTATTCATGTCTTTAGGCGACAGTTACCACTTTCCATCAGGTGGGCCGTCAGCTTATTTGTCATCCTAAGTTGCATAAAAAAAAGCCTATATGCATCTTTATTCCATATAATATGCGTATACCAAATTTCATAATATTAATGTTTTACAATATTATGTAGAGATATGCTTTAGAAAAGTCTACGTAAAACTTTTTGTTTTTCTCCTGTAGATATATACGTGTGACTTTAAGACATATTATGATCATTTGCATTTGACAGCGTAATAACACAGAGTGTATAAATAATCTTGTAAGAAAATAAAGTCTCTGATTTTCGCGCGTATTTGTCTATCTTGCTTTTATAATATTTTATTGAACTAGGTGTCATTTTGTGGAAGTCCATATCACTGGTTATTTGATTAGAATTCCGCTACCATTAGTATGTGTGTGACTGACAGAACAACATTCGAAGATTGACCACCACTGTTACTATCTTGCTTTTCGATTATAGTTATAATTGTTATATAGTATATGTATATATATATATATATATATATATATATATATATATATATATATATATATATATATATATATATATATATATATATATAACAGTTTTTTCTTGGTAAGAATTGTAGTTACTATTATAGCTATTATCCCATAGAAATTTTATCAAAATCAGTTCAGTAGTTTGGTTTTTAAATCAAAGTAACTTAATTTGTCATAATTGAACACGATTTTTTTTTGTGAAACACAATCTTTAATTATTAGAATAAACGAACCATTCTAAAAGAACAAAGGATTAACAAATTTGAAATTGATCGTTTTGTTAAAATTAATAATTTTTGAAGCCCGATATTTCCCGCTTAATCAATTTTTTAAATGCCAAGAGAAACTGGTATTTAAAACACACACAGAACACTGTCACAGAACAACAAAATGCATGGTCTAATGTACTATGATATACCTATGTTATATACAGACAGCTTGGTAAATAGTATCTCGTCCGTGAATCTCGAATTCTATTCCCAGTTGGGTCAATTTATAAAATGAACTGTTCTCAATCAGTTGAGGTCTAAGTGTTCTAGGTTATCTCTCTAATTTTATTGCCTGGCTTCTTATAACGCACGATATGCTAGATTGAAAACCGGACGTTTGGTTTAATTTTGAGACACCTATGGTTATATAAGTTGATACATATTTAAATGACTGTTAAATATTAAAAAAAAAGGGACCGAACTTCATAATGGGTAATATTTTCTTGCAAAACTCCTAAAATTAAGTAAGTATCTAACTTCACAAGGAGAAATGATAATGTAATGAGACTGGCGAGATGTGGGTGCCTTTAGGTAATGTGATAAATTATTACCTACGGTTTTCAAAGGTGTGGAAATGGTTCTACTACGGCTTTTATAAAAAGCTATAAAAAGAGGGAGATACTGATATAAACAACTTTTATATTTTTATTGTTTTTAATTATACGACGTGACATGTAGATATTTATTAGATATGGGTAATATCCGAAATATATATATACTAAGTTCTTCTGGACATTGATGACCACCCATTGTGATATCACCCATACCAGTCAGATATTTATATTCATTACGACCGGTTCTTCTTTTCTATATTATATATTGGATAACCGACCTCTGATATATTATATTAATATTGTGTTTATTATTCGTGTTTCTACCGTGAAGCCGTTGTGTTTGCATGGCTGTGTTTCGGTTTGAAAGATGGGATATGGCGTGAATTTACTGGGTACGGAGGAATAACACCTGAGTCCTCAGGAATGGCAACGCATGGGGTTATCATGGGCGAAACAGTATACACTGTTATGTCCATGGTACTGCTCATGTCTGTAGGCGACGGTTACCACTTTCCATCAGGTGGGCCGTCAGCTTGTTTGTTATTCTAAGTTGTATAAAAAAAAAGTATAGATATTGTAACTAAAATTTATAGATATTACGGGATATTACCCACCCATTATTTATACCTATTATTGGTATGAATCAAGAGTCTAATATTTACAGTGATAGTATATAGAACTGAAACATGATCTTATATTGCCAGGTATATCAAAGAGTTCATATGAAGAGCCTCCTAGTAAATCAACGACATCTGCGTTATTGATATATGTTGGCGGGTACCAGTGAAGGATGATAGGTAAGAAAGAACTCAGGTCAGTTGGCCCATTATGACGAATACATCAAAAATTAACCATGACGGTTTTCAAGAGAAATCGAGGGAAGGGAGCAAGGAGGTCTACCTAATTGTAGGGTATAATAATATATATTAATAATGGGGCTACAAGTCTCCGTTGCTAACAATCCCTCTCGCCTAAATCAGAGAGCTAAAAGAATCTATGATAGATGTATCGTTATGTAATAATCACTTACAATCCGACGGATGAGCTGGCGATATAACTCGAAGAATCAGCAATTAATGAAGAAAAAATAATCAGGATGCCGACGACTTAGTACAACCAACGACAAACTCAATTCAAATGTGTTGCGGGAAGACAATAGGTAGTTGGCTCAGGATCAATCCTTATAGTCTATAGATTATCCTGCAGCAGTGGAGAAGGCAGTCAATTTAGAGGGTACAGATGAATAACACCTGAGACCTCAGGAATGGCAACGCATGGGGGGAGTATTATGGACGAAACCGTATACTCTGTTATTCATGGTACTACTTATGTCTATAGGCGACGGTTACCACTTTCCATCAGGTGGGCCGTCAAATTGTTTGCCATTCTAAGTTGCATGCAAAAGAAGAACAAATAAATGTGAAATAATGATATGCTTAACTTGAATTTAAAGAAAAATCGGTATAGTCTCTAGTTTAAATCTGCCTGTAAAATAAAACCAATACATCATTGTAATGGAAATCAATTTGAACAACAATGAAATGCTTAGGTATTTTTAGTTTCGATGTTTCAACAAAGTTGCATCTTGTGTCTACTCTTGATTTTGTTGTGTTTAGTTTTTCCTTTTCTTTTACACTGACGCTGCAATCGCTTTTTATTAAGAGGCGCATTTTTTATTAAAATGTGCAATGTAGAATTGATGTTTAGTTAATATTTTATTTACAATTAAATTATATTCTTTAAAATAACATTAGCACGTCCCTACCTACAAAATATATACTTAACTTAAGACAAAAGCGTAAATATACATAAAAATTATTACCAAATCTGGAATTATTAGTATACAAATAATAATAATTATGTTACAAATACATAAGAGCGTAAACGTAACTCACCTTAAGCTCTCTGAGTCTCACTTGTGTCACATGACGCTAATAAGTTTAATATAGTATAATAGTATATATACTCGTTCTTTATACACAAATCACGAAATACAAATAATAAACAAATACAATTTAATTCACAATTACAACTGTTTGTTTACATGTATCAATACAAAATAAGATGTAATATCATGTTGTGCTTGGGCGGGCTCGTAGCGCCGACTAGCGGCAAGCGCGTGAAGCATTCGCTAGGGCGGCGGCGTCTAGGGCCACAAGGGTGCCGGGGCCTCTTTCCTCTCGCTCTCTCCCGCGTACTACACCTTAATTGACAGAATCCTTCGTGGCGTTACGCGAAAACGACGCTTTTATCAATGACATACGAGATATAATATTGCAACTTACGTAGAGAGTAGGTACATAGTATCTGTCGCCCCACGGAAGCCTGCGTGTAGTGGCCTTGAGTGGGCCCTGATGTTTTCATCCCGTGTGCGTAATAAAGCGTTTAGAAAGGGGACAAGTGACTTTAGCTGAAGGATTTATAGAGGAATCTCTAAAATTAATTCGGCCCGATTGTGGTTCTATTGCTTAAGGGGTGATACGTCGCAAGTCAGATTTAAAGTATTACAGCCATTTGCATATCTGTGGACGTTATATGACAGTTATGATAAGTATTGTATATAATAAAATTAAAACAATATCTATCATCATCATCATCATTTCAGCCATTATCCGTTCACTGCTGGACAAAAGCCTTCCCTATGGGGGAGGTTCCCCCATAGGGGAGGGAGGTCCCATATCCCATAGAAGATTAAAGAACGGTCCTGACACACCTGCAACCACTGACTCCCAACAACGCATTACAGTTCGTCACTCCATCTAGTGGGGGATCATCCTACACTACGTTTGCCCGTACGTGGTCGCCACTCAAGAATCTTTCTTCCCCATCGGTTGTCGGTTCTTCGAGCTATGTGACTAGCCTATTCAGCTTGCTTATCCTTCGGGCTATGTCGGTTAATTTGGTTCTTTTGCAATACAATATTCACAAACATATCTATACACAGAAGATATTAAAGAAAATTTAATATGGGATATCCTAACAAGTATGTCTATATGTTTGTTTCAACATCACGCAAAACTACTCTTCTAAATGAGATACGGTTTTCACAGTTTTTGAAGGTTTATTTCATTAGTTTTCGTACTCCTAACATCCATGCATAAAAAAACGCCGTACCGTATGATTAATTTATATTGATTTCCAATATTAGTTAATATTGAAATCAGAATTTTATCTTTCTGTACAAAGCCATCTATTGAAAGAGTATAACAAAGATAATAATTTTGTTATCGCTAGATGGCACTGTACAGGAACAATTAGGTCTTACAGTTACACTCCATCTCATCTAATGGTTTCTAGTTCAATTCGCATTTAATTTTTTATCTATAAATATGAACATTCTAATATGTCGTCACGGTTGGCTTTAAAGAATGCCAAGAAATATAATTTAAGGTATAATTAATAAAAGAAAGTTTTGCGGAGACGAGTGATATGTAACAGTAGTAGCATAAAATAAACTAATATAACTAAAGATATAAACTAAAAAAATTCAATTACAAATATGATTTTAATTTTATATAGGTAGGTAAGTAGAGTGACGAAAAGATGAGAAGTATATGGATGGCATTACTAAGACAACACCTACATTTGGCAATGCAGAAAAAAAAAAATGGTTATGATAAATAATAACAGAGTAAAATAGACATGAGAGATTTATTAAAAATGATATATTAATTTTCTAATATAAATTAAACTTCATCGGAATTTATAAGTACATATAGCACGCAACAAGAAATTCAAAATAATTTTGACAATAATTATAATATTTATTATGTACTTCTTAACATTTAATGCACAAAATATTCATTTTATGAATCTTCAAAGTATATTGTCTATAAAAGCTTTAATAAATATGTATTATTTATAATTCTGCATTATTTTAAATAGAATGCTATGGATGGAGATCACATTATCCAATTAACATAGGTTCTAGTTTGCCGCTACTGTATAACTTTTGAACATCACTGCCCCCTCCAACACAATTTCCATTAATGAAGACCTGAGGTACCTGCAAATAAGATAATACAAATTTAATAAAAAAAACGGAGAAGAGCGAGTCGGGCTCGCGCACCAAGGATTCTGTACAAATTACAATAAAAAAAAATTGTGATGTAATTACAAATTTACGATTTTCGTGTTTGTCTCTTTATATAATTTACATGAACTGCTGTGCAAAATTGCATGCTTCGAAACCTACCAGTTTTGGTGTGGGTTGCTTTTTAGTGTGGGTTGCATTTGTTGAATACATGTTAAGGTTTTTTTATTATAAATACAATCTACATCATTAGTATTGAATGTAGGTAATGTAAGATATGAACTCATATTGTGATTAATGACATTGAGATTTTGTAACTAAAAGGAGAATGATATTGTGCCTTATTCATAATTATTACATATATTACATGCACAAAAATAAATTGTCACTTTGTACAAATCAAGTATTTTGCACGAAAATGGTTTATTTATTTTAAAAAAATGAGTAGAAGTTATTCTGAATCAAGAAAATTTATGAATTTACTGTTCGTCGATTCCAAAATTTGTTTTGACTTTATTTGAAAACAGTGCATGTATATAGACATCATTAAAATGAACATAACTTTTAAAAATAATATTAATATAAAATAATGGAAGAGTAAACAAATACATAATTGACCATTTGCCACCATTGCCATAAAGCAGTCAGTCTCCTCATATCCAATATTATTATTATCTTTTATTGAAAATAAATTGATTTAATATTCTGATTTGTAACAAATTCAATTTAAAATATTAATTCCACCAAAAATTGTGTTACCTTTCATTATGTTCTATTAGATAAACTAAAGAGAATGTATGGTATATTATGACTTGACTGTGATAAGACATTTATCAGTTCAAAAATTATTATTATTAAGATAATGAGTAAAAATAAACTTCATGATATCATTATCATTCATTGTTTTAAGTACACTAATAATCAGTTTCAGATTCCTACTTTGCACTTCATAATTAGCACTTCTTTTATCTGCAATGTCATTACATGAGTGACATCTTAGTAAAGGTAGAAAGATTTAAAATGCCATGGATATAGAAAAAGAATTTGCTATAGGTACACCTTTCTCTTATGTATATTGTGATAAACAAATATTGGTTCAACTCATCATTCAGTTGATCCTATTTTTTTAGTTTTATATAATTATCTAGTACTGCAAAACAATATGATGATATTGTAAAGTTGAGAATATAATCATACGAGGTCTGTCCGGAAAGTTCGTATAAAAGTGTTCTGGAATGCGAGAAAGAGGAGTGGGGAGGCCAGGTAAGCGCAGGACCCCTTCCTTATGTCCCTAACAATGCTTCAGTTCTGGTCTGACCGCCGTGCGGTGCGAACTGGCTTGTCACGCCATCTGTGAAGTTACCTCTTAACGAAACCCCGTCGGCATGGAGCCCGCTTCCGTTGAAGAGCAGCGCGTCGTAATCAAGTTTCTCTCGAAACTCGGCAAGAATGGCCGTGAAATTTTTGCCGATCTCAGAACAGTAAAATCCCAAAGCAAAGAGTGGAAGACATCCGGGGAACCACGAACAAAAAAATCAAGAAAATCCCGCTCAAATGTCAAGACAATGTTGATTGTTTTTTTCGATGTTCGGGGGATTGTCCATCAAGAATTCGTCCCTCCAGGCCAGACAGTTGATGGAAAATTCTACGTCGATGTGCTCAGACGCCTCAAAGCTCGTGTGGCACGAGTTCGTCCAGAATTGGCGCGAGAGGGGCGTTGGATTCTTCACCACGACAATGCCCCTGCCCACACCTCTCTTGTTGTCCGTGAGTTTTTGAGTAAAAATTCCATTACGGTGACCGAACACCCCCCTATTCGCCGGATTTGGCCCCGTGTGACTTCTTCTTGTTCCCAAAAACCAAATTGGTACTTCGGGGGCGGCATTTGGGGGACATAAATGAGATAAAAAAAGCTACGACGGGGCAGCTGAGAAACCTACAACCAGAGGACTTTCAAGGAGCCTTCTCACAGTGGAAACGGCGTTGGCACAAGTGCATTATGTCACAGGGGGAGTACTTTGAAGGGGATAAAATTGATTTACCTGAATAATTGTAAAATAAAATTTTTAAAAAACTTTTATACGTACTTTCCGGACAAACCTCGTAAATACCAATTAAATGAAACTTAAATGTATTAATAGTTGCAGATGTGAAAGTTGTAATGACTACATACATAACAACTATATGTATTCTATTTGTTTATTTCTCTTTTGACAACTCCATTTTTAATTTATTTCGTAAAAATAGATAATAATATCTATGGTATATAATTACATCAATAACTTAATTAGGTAATAAACTTATTAATTAATTGACAATTTAAGAAAAGAGCAGTTTATATAATTTTTTTACCACATTTTTAATGTTGATAATGTCTAAAAAAAATAAAAATTGAGCTGTCACGAGTAAAAAAAGAATTAATATAAAATAATGGGTACAGTAACATTCCTTTCTGTTGCATCGATTATTTTCTTTTATTATAAAAATAGATTACCTATTTTAGTGTGTTGTTCTGTAAATAAAAGTAAGTATATGTAAGTAACACATTAAGAAAATAAAATCAGAATCAAATAAAACTCATTCAATTATTATGATTATAAATAAGTATAAGTATTTATGTATAAATCTTCTCAATAAATATTTCTAAAATAATAATTATTCTTTAACAATATGTAAAATGTGGTCAATTATTGAAATAAAATTTTATTCATACATTCATATATGTAAAGGCAATTTTTATTTAACAAAAATAATTCTCGGCAGGTTGGTGAATTGTTGTTTTGTATTTTTAATATTCTTTTTTCACACTAAATAACTGTATAGTTTTTCTTGTATCTATTACCATTAACAAATTAATCTCAATTTGGAGTAGTGAAATTTGAAGAAAACAGTTATTATATTGTTCTATAATAATAGTGTCATTAGCAAATCAGAAAATATTCTATTGTGTAGTACATATTTACTATACAGTATCTTAATATATAAAAATTTCATATTAGTGTTCCTTTACTAATCTTTAAAACAATTCAACTGATTTTAATGAAATTTTGTAAATGTGAACTATTTGTTTCAACTTAAGTAATAGTTTTTGTTCCGATAAGAAGAGGGCAAAACAACATTTGCAGAGTCAGATGGTATTACAAATGTGAAAGTGTATGTGTGTGAAACACACAATTGTTTATTAGCTTAACTGATCATTATGGAATTTTATATAAGGTAGGATTTAAGATAGAGAATGCAAGATGCAGAATGAAGATGCAAGTAAGTACTAAAAGATAAACTATACATTATTCTAACTTTTGTAGAAATGTACTGTAATTCTTTAAAGTAAAAATCATTTGGAATATATTTTATTAGAATCTTTTACTATTCATTATACATCCTTATTAAGAATTTTGTTTTAATAAATAAATTAATAATGACACGACTTACAGTTCTAAATCCTGTTATTTGTTGCAAATTATCCTGAATGACATTGCCATCATCGCGTTGATCAAGTTCATAAACCTTAATAGGCTGTTTAACCTTATTGAAAACCTGAAATTGGGAATCAAATAGTAAATTGCAATATAACTAGTTATAAATATTGATCAATAAGAGTCTTTTTGACATTTGTGTTGGTTAAGATAAAAAGATTAAGTAAAAAAAGATATATTCATAAAAAAATGGTAACGTCCGAATGACTAATATACTTCAGTGCAAATTGATTACTTATATGGATGCTTGAATCTACTTTTATATGTGATATATAAAAGTATTTAATATATCTAGCAATGTCATAAATTATTTTAATGGCAGTAAAAACCTTTATTCTCTGATTCATCATAATATATTATGAGTCAAAGAATAATATAGCGAATATTTTAAAACAAATAAATATTAATATACTTACATCTTTAGCTAGATTACAATAGGGACAATAAGATTTGGAAAACACCACCACTTTATCTTGAGAAATGGCAGTTTTGATGAACTGTTGTACCTCTGGAGAACTCGTCATTTTCGTTACACTAAAGATTTTACTGGGCAATGATCCCATATGATTCACATACAGAAATATAAGTATGAAACGCTCAAAATTTGATTAGAAACAAGATTGAAATTTTTTTTTTTTTTTTTTTTAGTACGTTTGTTCCGTTTGGAACAGGCTAAGGTCGGAGACCATGCTGCCTAGTCTTCAAAAAGATAATTTGTCTGGAATTTTATTTTTCTAATGTCGCTTCAATTATTGTCATAATCTTCAATATTTCATTTGTCAAATCCGGTAAGTACATTTTCATAAATATCTTTTCTTGAGTTTTCTTAAACCAGTGGATTTATCAAATTAAAAATAAATAATTATAAAAAATCATTGTCTTGCAATTCAATAAAAGTATTCTTATAGCTCCTTGAATGTTGTAGTAATATAAGTGAAAATAGCTTTGAAACAAGAAGGAAATCTTAAGAGAAGCGGGATTGAGTGCGGGATATTTTCGGGTTTTTTGAAGATAATCCTAAGTTCGTCAAACATAATGTGTCTTTGAATGACAAATTCAGAGCAATCAAAAAAAAAGGTGATGTAGAGATTGGGCTGTATTTGAGTTACACCATGTGCATGATGGGGAAGCGATCATGCCCATTCGGTGCAGGTGTTCGTTGAAATGTCCGTGGCCGATTCGTAATCTACAAATATTGGTGTAAAATTTTCTGTTTGTGTCCTTTCCTTTGCAGAACCACGGTTTTCCAATACGCCAATTAATTTTGCGATACCATTTGCCTTTAGTCTGTAATATTTGAGTCCAATGCTCCTCCCATTTAGTTGTAACGATTTTATGTATTCCAATACTACAATCTGAGTAACAAAGGGGTAAATCTTGAACACGAGCAGCACTTGAATTAATAATTTTAGCCAAAGTGTCTACTTGTTCATTCCCAAACACTCCAATATGTGAAGGGGTCCAGATGAAGATAATATCTTTTCCATATATAGTACAGAGATGATAATATTTATTACGAATTTCTTGAATTAAGTAGTTTGATGATGAAATGAATGTGTTATTTTTTAATGCCATAAGAACACTCATACTATCTGTAATTATAATCCATTTCGAATATAGTACCTGTTTTTCTATGTATTCTAATGCTAAAAATATAGCTTTTGCTTCTGCTGTGTAAATACTAGCCAAAGTTGAAATTTTATAACCGTGACCAAATCTATTTGACAAATCGTAAAAAGCCACTGAAGTGCTAAGTGCATTTTTGGAACCATCTGTATATATCTGCCTGTAGTCAATAAATTCTGATAAAGTCTCATACATATCGTGCTTTTCTTTTATGTCTTTACGTATAACAATTTTGATCTTACAGAACTTACTCTCATAAAGGCCATTATAACAAGGAAGTATCTTACTACTATAGATGTTATATTCATCTCGTAAATTCAAATCATTGACAATAGTTTTATTCAAAAACATAGAAATGGGGCAATTTAATAATTTGAGTATGAGTGGGTTATTGGAAACTGAAAAAACTTTGAAGAGAAATTTGAGTTTTAGGTATTCGAAACGAAGAAGGATAGGAGGCAAATTACATTCTACTTGCATTGAGATAATTGGAGAAGTATACATAGCACCTAAAATAAGTCTTAAATTCATATTTTGAATTTTTTCGAGTTTTTCTACTAATTTATGTTCTGAGGCATAACAAAAGAAAGCGTAATCAAAATTACTTCTAACAAGAGATTTGTAAAGTAAAAGGATAATTTTAGGATCAGCTCCCCAGTTACGACCAATTACAGATCTTATTATATTAGTGGCTCTTAAAGCACGATCTACTAAGCAATCAACGTATAGATCCCATTTTAAATTTTGATGAAAAATTACCCCCAGAAATTTAACGCTACAGTCTGTTGGAAGAGTTTGATTATTATATATAATATTCATTAATGGAACATATTTATGAACTTGATGAAAAACAACTACTTTACTTTTGGTTAAACTAATATCGAGGGAAAGAAGAGAAAAATATTTCTCAAGTCTTTTTAATGACTCATTTAACACTAATTGCATATCAATAATATTCTTTCCTTTTATATAAATTAATAAATCATCGGCAAATTGCAAGTTGTTCACACTGTTTCCTAAAACTAAATTAAGTTTATAGATATATAAAATATATAGTAGCGGGCTTAAAATACCACCTTGACATACTCCTTTAGAGCTTAACCTAGGTCCTATTAATTTACTATTTACTTTAACATACACTTCTCTATTACTAAGAAAATTATAAATCCATTCGATAAGTTTCATTGGAAGAAATGAGGATAGAATCGAAGATAGAACTGTTAAATTTACATTGTTAAAAGCTCCTACGACATCTAAAAAAACAGATAGAACATATTCATCGTTATTCAAAGCAGTACTAAGGTCGACATAGAAGTTCGCTAAACTTTCGCGCGCTGAATATCCACGGCGAAAACCAAATTGATTCGATGGTAATATACTATTACTTTCAATAAAGAACTCTAAACGCTGTTTAATTAATTGTTCGAATAATTTGCCTGCACAGGACGTCAATGTTATAGGTCTATAGGAGTCGAAATTTGTAGGATCTTTACCGGGTTTAATTACTGGAATCAAACAATCCATTTTCCATTCTGGTGGGATAATACAGTCCTTCCATAAATCGTTAAAAATTTGTAAGAGTTTAGTAAGGTTTATTTTATTCAGCAATCGAAACATATTGTATGTTAAGCGATCAAGGCCACTAGCTGTATCTTTTCTAGATTTTACTGCACTGGATATTTCATCAATTGAGAATGGGTCAGTGAGAAATTTTGGGCATGAATTAACAGAATTAAACTGTTTGTCATCAAAAGGTGAGTGTACAAAATCAGGAGTATATTTGCGTAAAAAATCATTGACCCATGATATATCTTTAAAATGATTTTGACGATGTTTTGAATTTAGTTTTCTCATATTTTGCCAAACAGTGGAAATTGGTGTTAATCTATTAAATTTGGAACAAAATTCCTGCCACCCCTGTTGTCTTACTTGCTTAATTACTAACTTTTTAACAGCTTGAACTCTTTTAAAATTTATGTAATTATCGAGAGTTGGATTTTGTTTAAACCTAAGGTAAGCCGCTTTACTATCATTGACAGCTGTCGCACACCTGTTATTCCACCAAGGTACTGCAATATGTTTGTGCCTCTTTGAAGTATTTGCACCGCTATTTGATAAGTTCCTACGTGGAACGGAACGTTCCACAGCTGTCAAAATAATTTTACAGAACCTATTGTAATTGTTTAAGGGTTCATTGACATCATACTCGAAATCCAAAAGTAATTGATTTACAGTTTCAGAATAAAGATCCCAATTAACGAGACGTAGGTTTATACGATTTAACAAAAGTTTATTAACTTCATCTATAGGAGCATGTTGTTCACCTGACGGAGTTGATGAAGAGTTCTTTGTGTTTATTTTAGTAAAAGTCGGCAGGTGATAACTTCCTAACGGATCATCATGAACCGACCACTCGCATTTTAATGATATGGATGGGGATACCATAGTTAAATCAAGGCCATTGGGTCTCCAAATATGAGAGCCAACAGTAGTAACTTGCTTATCATTTAATAGTACCAAATTACATTCATCTAAACAATCAAGAATGTCTTTACCTCTTGTATTAGTGGAGGTACAACCCCACATAGTATGATGTGCATTTAAATCTCCAGATATGATAGTGGGTTTAGGAAGAGACTCCAAAAAGAACTTAAATTTGGCTTTAGTAAAACTAGGTGTACTATTGGTAGGACAGTAAATACTGGCAACTGAATACCAAGAATTATTAACTTCAATACTAATAGCTATAGTTTGCAAAGAATTGTCGAAAAAAGAGTGAAGTTTTTTATATCTAATACTATTATGTATAATAATCGCTACTCCATTGTGGTTATTACCACAATCATTTCGTTCTATACAATAATCTTTAATTTTTAATTTGTAATGTGGTTTTAGCCAAGTTTCTGAGATGAGAGCAATGTGAATATGATGTTCATTTAAAAATTGTGTAAAAATATGTCGATTGCTCAGTAGGCTCTGAGCGTTCCACTGTATGATAGTTAATTGGTCTCGATTGAATTTTGTGAAATAGGTCTATTACCAAAAGTATCATATAACACATTCAAAACACTTTTAGTGTTAATAGATGTGTTCTTTGTGTTATGTAGTGAAATAAGTTTGATTATGCTTTCTATTAAAAGTGATAAACTCTTGTTATCAGAATTTAGAATTGAAATTAGGTCTACATTTTTTTTAGGTTTGTTACCCAGTTTAGGAAATATTTCAGTGCTAAGTATATCTCCAAAAGAAGCAGGTCTGAATTTAGATCTATTTTCAGCAATTTTCTTTTGTTTAACAGGGCATTGCGGTGATACACTTGTGTGATTTCCATTGCAGTGTACACAAATAGCGTTTTCCATTCCAGTTGTACAAGTTTTATAATTATGCTCACCTTTGCAGATGCTGCAACGCTCAGAATTCTTACAGAATTTAGCTAAATGTCCATACCTCAAGCACCGGTAGCATTGTTTAACTGGTGGTATATATGGAGTGACATTGTGGCGCCAACCTCCAATATCCAGATATTCAGGTAATACAGATGCAGCAAAAGTAATTGTCACGGTTAGAGTTGGCTGTAACACATATCCATGAGTCAAGGTATTTTTTCTTAAAATTCTTTTAATAGCAATAATTTTCTTAGAACTCGATATCATAGTATATATTTTTTTTTTAGATATATTTGTAGGTACATTTCTAATAACGCCTGTAACTTCTGTTGAAGAAGCAGGAATACTGGCCTTAAAATGGTAGTCATTTAAAAAAGTTTTATTATTTAAAAAAGCATTGGCTAAGTCTGGCTTTTGAAAGTATACTCCGATTTTGAATTTATTTATAGATCTAAGATAAGTTACCCCTTTATTAAATCGTTTTAAACAGGAGGAGAGTGAGAGCAAGTCTCTGGATCCAATGGTTTTCTGACTATCTGAGGATTCTACAAAGACAACAAATTCTGTCCCAGGGGATTCCTCGGGATATCTTCTAATATAATCTGTGACGTAGTAAGGTTTATACTTATCGGCCTTATCAATTTCAGATTCTGAGTCAGTAGAAGTATCTTCCGAATATATATCCTTGTCATTACAAGGTTCATGGTCTACATCACCTGAATCGTCATCTTTTTTTTTCCTTTTTCTACAACTGCGCTTCCCCATGAATGCTAATTATATTACTGTCGCTGAATTTAGTGAAAATATAATATTTTATTCAATAATAAGAATTGATAGAGATAGTTTTAATAAATTAATAAAAAAAAATTTAAAAAACCCGCTTGTTCTTATTCGAGTTTCCCGCCTTTTCGTCTGTCAATAACAGTTGTCAAGTCTCGAAAATGTCACTTGCTGAGTTTTTTTTTATTAATAATAATTTTACAGATTTGAATACTGAGAATTAAACCAATTTAAATTTGTTTTCACTTGTAAACATAAATGTTTAATTCCTAAAATCTATATTAGCATGCGATACTTTTTAATAATAAGCTGTTGTGATAATATTGTGATAGTGTTTAACTCCCATTCAATGGTCAAACAGACCCTGATCAACATATCAGGTTGTTAAGTAGAAGACGAATAATTTATACATGTGTATTTTAGTCCCACCTTTGTTTCTACCGTAAAATATGGCAGTGGACAAAGTGTGAAGGCTTAATACCAGAGTCCCTCGAGGTGGAAGGGATGGATTATTGCTTTGCCGTATTGCTTGCAACGTACCCTATCAAGTCGACCTCGATCATATGGTCCTCACGCGATCACGATGGGCCAACTGACCTGCTCTCATCTTCACCAATATCATTCCTTATTAATGCGCTATCAGTGTATACCGATAGAGCAGGCGGGATTACCATTATCATCCATTAAAAAGGATTGGCAAAGACTAAGGTATACCATGGGCACCACGGAATATTCTGTGATGTCCACTATAATACATTACCACTTTCCAATCGAATAAGCCATCAGCTTATTTTTATTTGGTAATTTCAAATTCGATCCTTAGAATTAAGGAGGCACATACTTATCAAACATAAACATATAAATCCAAACAGATGATACTGCTTTATTTATAACTAGTTGTTATGCCACAAAGTGTAGCCTATGTCCTTCTCCATCTCATATAGTAGGTGTATACCGAATTTCATGATTTGTTAAGCCGTTAAGGCGCCAAGAGATAATAAATTCATATTAATATTTACGAGTATAATATTAGTGAGGATAAATTTCTTATTTTTGACAGATTCAAGTTGCTTTTTCAAACCAACTCATTGTTATCATAATATTGTATTGATATCTGCCTTAAATAAATATGTCAGCTTCAATATATATTATAAACTAACTGTTTTCGCGGCTTTGCCTGTGTGAATCAGTATATAAAGTATATATCATAAACTAGCCTATACGTTAAGTTAGGATCATAGTAGTATAACGTTTTATGTATCTATTCATTCTTGATTGACGTCAGGTTAAAAAACACAATTTAAACAACACATTTTACTGCCCACCCAAGCAAATAAGTAAACAAATAAAGCAAATGAACACAGTATTGACAGTGGGTCTATAAGTTGTTCAATAAAGTTCCTACATAATTTTAATATTTGCCCAAGTAGGTAACCAGGTATACATTTTTTATCTAATTTTACTTACGCAACAGAATAGGTGATAAAGATAATAAAAAATTCGCCCGCATTCGATTGATAGTACATAGTGTACCTACGTGTATTAAAATAATTAGTTTTTTTTTATAGATAAAAATGGTATGGTAACCCCGCCTGCGCAAACGGGATACACTAGCGGAGCACCAGTGAAGGGTGATAGATGAGAATGAAAACAGGCCAGTTAGCCTATCATGATGAATTCATCAGGAATTAACCATGATAGTTTCCAGGGAAAACCGCGAGGAGGTCGACCTGGTTGGGTATATTGCTAGCAATGGGATTCTCAGTCTCCATTACTAACAATCCCTTTCCCCCCAAAATAATTAGTTACTCTAATTTTTAATTTGAATAAAAATTTATTTCTTAAGAATCGATGAGAATATTCAATAAATGAAAACACCAAATCTAATATTTTTTTCTATGAGTTTATTATAATAGGCGTATCAAAAGGTGTAATTCTATTACTCTATATATTTCAATATTCAATCATTATATCAACTAGTTATCTGCCCGCTCCGTCTTCGCACGAACGTATCAATAAATGAGACTAAATCTTCCCTTTTTTTAATCCTAATTTTTTCACTTTTCTGTAAGATTGTTCAAATATTTTTTCTATTTTTCTGTGTGCGTGTTGCAACCCTAAAGAAAACTCTTTACTCCTTTTCTTGTACTTCCATACTGTAGTCTTTTGAAAAAATCTCGACAGAATGAACTCATCTGTAGCCTGAACGTTTGTGGGAGAAAACATCTCTGAAATCGCACTGTACGCGACCATCTAGGCTCTAAAGTACGGGGCTGAACTCCCTGTCACTGTCGAGCTATACGATGGTAGAAAGTGACATCATATCGAACAATTCCTCTGAGTACAGTCCATTGTACAAGCAGTAGAACACGCAAAGTGAGGCAAAATCTTTCCTACAACTTAAATGTTCGATATCGCTAGTAAGTTATTTTTCTGCTACCAACAGCAGTGCTATTAATGGGGAGGAATACGTGTTGCGTTAGTGTGTCTATGCAATTAATGGAGATAACCTCCTAGAATTCAGGTTCGACAACATAGGAAGAGTTACTCGTACATAAGCTTTCATGATGTCAACATTATACTGGAAGTAGAAATTAAAAATAATAACATAAATTTAATTACATATTTTATTCATAACATGAAATAAGTTTTTATTATAAACAATATTTAAAACAAGATTTATCTTTTTGAAATTTTAATTTGATGACCTTCTGTGGGAAACAATAGCATTTCCATTTTAAGTTTATTGATTGGTTGCGCTTCGATTTGATATGATCTCAGCACAGTCGATAATATGCTCTTTATTATCATCATACCGAAATTACGACCTGGAAAGAATTTCAGAGTAACTTTGTTGTAAACTAAGTATGTTAGGTAAATACATATGTAATAACTCAGTACTTTTATTTATATTATTTTTTTCTGTCAACTTAAGGAGTCGTTTTAACTGAGAAGAACTGGTAATGACCTCGGTTGTACTCTTTTCAAACAAATGAGTATTATAAAAAGTAGTTGAAATTTTTTATGTCTATATACACAAGATCATTATCACAGTGACAAGATCGCACCATAGTAAAATAAGTACCTATTTATAAAGCAAATAAGTCACATAAACATAAGCACATTCCATACCATACAAATAATACAATGTTCCTCTACTATGGAAAAATCTCGGTATTCACACTTACATTATCGTTATTATTTATAGAATCACTAGTTTTTACCCGGATTTCGTTCACATGACTAGGAAATATGAATTGATTAGAATAAATGTACTTCTTCATTCAAAATTTGTTTCAAAATCATTCAAAATGACGATTGTTTGAAACGTCAAGAGGCATAATAAACAAACAAACAAACAAACTCACTTTGACATTTATTATATTAGTAAGTATTATAACCATCATTTCTTCGTTATTCATAGAATAAAAGGGCCCAATGTTATTTAAATCAATATTTTTCTATTGTTTATGGAACTTAAACAAATTCACTTGAGGGAAAGTTGTGAACATCGCCAATAGAGCATCATTATGAACTACGAAATGCACTTTTATTGTTAAAAGTTTAGTAAGTATACATTACATTTTAATGTAATAACTACTGGTTTATCTAACGTGTAATTTGGTCAAACTTACGCTCGCGTCACAGCTGCTCAAGACTAGATTCCTGGATGGTTTCGAAACTAATCGAACTTTCTTAATCAAATTATACGTTCATCAAACCGGTAGTTACATTAAATACAAAATACATTGATACACAAGATAACTGCGGACTACGATGTTCAACAAAATCAAAAAAACACTGTCCTAATGATATTCTTTAAAGCGATATAGGCGCAGCTGATCAGCGACAGGTACACCAACGGTACCAAAGGAACGTAATCGCAGACAACTTTGTGATTACTCGTCTTTTTGACATACAACTTAAACTTTGCCAATTCGTGTTAAATAAAACACTCATACAGGTTAATTAAATGTTATATAAATATTATGAAATATTCGTATGTAACTCTTACCTATACAGTTTCTTGACCCATAACTGAACGGTATGAACGCCGCGGGATGTCGTCCAACTGATCGCTCTGGGAGAAAACGATCAGGGTCGAACTCGTTAGCAGTGGGCCCCCATACTGCCTCTGATCGGTGCATAGCGAACGCACCTATCACTGCTCCAGTTCCAGCTGGTAATGTTGTCTCACACACCGCTACATAAATATTAAAGCAATTATTTTAATTTGTGATATTTATACATAAAAAAAAAGAAATAAATTTGAAATACGAGTATAATAGTTATTACAATGTCACAACTTTCACGTTAAGGTATCTTTTCATTTCCAAAAGTATTCTTGATAACAATCACAGAACAGTGTGGAGCTAAGAGGGAGAATTTGCTCTCTAATTTGTGATTTCCGATTTTAATAATTTTTATTACCTTAATTATATTAAAAATGAAGCCGATTTTTAATGTAAAAAGTGGAAAATGAAGGCCACTGGTAATTTAGATTAATTATGTAAAAAAAGTCGATCTTTAGTGTAAAAAATGGAAAATTCAGCCAACTGATAATATAATTAAGATATTACTTTACGACATAAGAATGACTTCAATTATAAGAAAATCAATATGTGACTAAAAAATATTAGACTTGAAAATATCCTTCTTTTTGAAGTCGTTTAAAAGAAAAATAAAATAAACTTTGATAATACAATTAAATATTTTATATAAAGTCGCCTACGTACATACATGTAGATACATTCAGAAAATATTTGTTGTTGTATTTTGTGAGATGCTTAATATAAAATTGTCGAAGCGCAAATTTTAGGATAAGTTACCATCAAAATTTAGGCAAAATAAAATTCAATTTAAATGACTACTACTATTGTGGTATAATCCAAATATATACGCTGGCTACCTAACCAAGATGCGTCCATATAACAAAGTGCGAGACTCTTAGTGAAAATATTGTCTATTTCATATAAACATCTAATATTTTCATATGAAAAGGTTACTTTTTTTTAAAGATTAATTGGAATCAATAATAGATTCTAATAAAGTTGTTAGAAATTGCCTATCTAAAATTTTCGCATACTAGGCCGAAGGTATACAGGTACTTACAGATACTTGTAAGATTTGACCTTGGATTGACGACATCTAAGCAAATGTTTTGCTAACACACGGTAATCACTTGGTCACACATCAGATAATTATCATGTGGTCATTCTGACAACCTTTGTAAATAAAATTGCGCGATTTCAAAGTGGACTTTAGTATTTAAGAATGAATATGTTTCAGTAAATATCCTTATAATCCGTAACCTGCCGCTTTGTTTCGCCTAAATTAAGTTAAAAAGTATCATCATCCTTATCGTCATGATTGTAACTATTCAGGTCCATTGCTGAATAGGCTTCGCTATAGGCTTTCGTCAATTCATTGATTGAAATTTTTCCTGTATTGCGTATGCCTGTATGAAGTTGTCACTTGAAAATCTTTTTCGAGGTAGTAGCCATCTTATAAGTACTCGAATCAAATTGTTTGTTTATATTTTGATTAACTTCTTTTGAAATAGAATATTTAATTCGTTTTTGCTTTTTATAGGCACTTTTTGCATTACCTGTATGCTCTTAGTAATTAGCATGAATGGTGAGACATAATCAACTGACAGATAATACAACTAGGTGTAAATTTTATACATCTGACACTTACGTAAGTAAATTGTAGCATTAAAGTAAAATACAAAAACTTACGAAGGTAAATATCTTCGTGAATATTACGAGCTATAATCGGGACCACTGCATAGAGTCTCATGCTCTCCTTCACAACTCGCTCCAAGTAGCTCATTCTTTGAAGATCTTCTCTGTTGGCTCCTCGTTTCGATTTGTCGAAGATCGCCTCTTGTCTGAAGACGTTAAGGAAATATTAACATAACATTTTTTTTTTAAATAATTTGTAACCGTTCTTTATAATTAAGTTATATTTCATTACTAGCTACATCCAGTAACTACAATTGCGTGGAAAAGTATTTTGTATTATCCTAGGAGATTGTCTGTATGTTTATTAAACCATCAATTCAGTTTATTTATTAGTTACAAAACAAATATAGCTACCGTAAATGTTGGTTGTTCATTGGTTGTTTCAATGGAATTAATTAGTTTTATTCCGCTACCCTTAGTATATATGTGTGACTGCCAACACTCGAAGATTCACTAATATCATTATTACCAGAAGTTCTACAACTTGGCAAATTAGCCATCAATCTCCGATTGCCATTTCGTCCACACATGGTTTGCGGCACCCAAACTGTAAAATTTTCGCAGTTTATGGTCCCAAACAGTTAACACTAGGTTCCGAGCAGCGATCTACTAATTTCTTGAAGATGCCTCGTCAAGAAATTAAACACGTGTCGCAAAATGTGCTTGGACAAAATGGCAGTCGGAAATTGATGGCTGATATGGAAGGTTGTAGAACTTCTGGAATTAATAATAGTAGTCATTCCTCAAGTGTGTGCGCGATGGCATTCGTATACTGATAGTAGCGGAATTAAACAAATTAATTGTAAGCAAATAACCAATAATATGGACTTCAGCAAAATAGCACCTAGTTCAGTAAAATATTTACAATATCAACGTAGTATTACAATTATGTAAGTCACAATTACACCAATCACGTAATGCTCGAGCTATGATACTCAGTACTATATCATAAAATCAAACAATGAAAGAATATCCACAGATATAATTTTTAAATACTTAAATCTAAGGCATTTTAGAAAACTTAATTAGTCCTATCGGGAATTAAATTTGGAACATCGTAATAAGCACATACCGTAGTAGGTCTACGGTAATACGAATTTTTGTCATCTACAAATTTACTTATATATGAGCAAGTCATCTTTTTATGTTGATTAATTAAAACTTAAATTATAATTAATGTAATAATTAATACATGCAATGACAGCCAGTAATTACGTCAACCTAAAATATTTACATGAGATAAAAGTTGTAATCACAATTAATGTTTTAATGGCCATTCAATTAAATAAATAAAAATAGTTAAGTAACTCACTCCTGCAGTACTCTCTGCTGTGCGTCTTGATGAACACCTAACAATACCAAAGTGTACGCGATGACCAGCGCTGTAGTGTCATTGCCAGCAATGGTGATAGAGTCTATGTGCTCACGCAGTTCTTCGTTGGTAAACTCTATCTCTCGATTGAACAGTAAATCCAGGACCGCTTGAAGTTTACCTTTATTTTAGATCATTTTTGGTTAAACTCCAATATTATTGTTTTAACTTTGTTTTATAGATACTTAAAGTTACAGTTTAATCATCATCATCATCATCATCATCACAATCATCACTACATAGTATAAAACAAAGTCGCTGTCGCTGTCTGTCCGTCCCTATGTATGCTTATATCTTTAAAATTACGCAACGAATTTTCAAGAGGTTTTTTTAATAAATAGAGTGATTCAAGAGAAAGGTTTATATGTATAATACATGCATATTACGCTAGCACTCACTTTATCATGTTTGTATTGTGTAATGACAAAAAAGTTGTAAACGTTGTTTATAAGGACATTCTGTATTAAGTAGATATATTTAGTATCAGCATTGCATCTATGCGAAGCCAAGGCGGGTCGCTAGTAGTAATATAAATCATTTGAAAATATTGGCTCGACAATTTATTTCTATATAGATTAATTTAATTTTGATAGTTCAAAGATTGTAAAACGTAAATGATTATATGTAAGTGCGCAAAATTTATTATATATCTAAGTGATAATTTGCAACAATAGTCTACTTCAATAGAACTAAATAAAAATGTAAATAAACATATAATTTACTACAAGACAATGTCCAATAATATTACAAATTAAAAATCGATTACTTTATTGAATGTTTAGAGTTTTTTACTAATTTCATTTAGAGAATGTTTCTGCGACAAAACTTGATTACGTTTTCATTAAGGTTTATTGAATAAGACTGTACAGATTCAACACAGAATGTCGGGGTAACTTTGACATAATCAAATTGGGATAAAATCGTGATTACATCAAAAAAAAAAGTCCAATGGACCTTACCTTATATTTGACGTCAATTCGATCTAATTTAGATTTTATTTTTATTTGATAACATCAAAATTTGCACCGACGTTTGGATCATCTTGATATTTACCTACTTATCGGCTACTATTAACATAAAACACGCGTATTCAGAAATTGTTTATTATTAGACGTTGATATCTTATTTGTACTAAAATCACAATAGATAGTTATGTAATAAATGATAAGTGCTTCGATATTCTCTGAATGTCGAGCCATAGGATATTTATACTAACCCTGGATATTTTTTATGATCGAGGTCTAATTATAATCTCTATTCTAATAAATAAATATCCTTATTAATAACTAACAGTATCCCGCGGCTTCAACGACGTGAATAAATATATAAAGTACCCTTTGTATTAAGTTAGGATATAACTTATCAGTATACCAAATTTCATTCAAATCCGTTGAGTACTTTTTACGTGAAAGAGTAACAAACATTCATCAATCCGTCCATCCAACGTTACAAATTTTCACATTCAGAATATATTAATTAATAGGATTAATACAAACCGACCCCAAATAATTCGGATAAGGGCAGAAAGATGATAATGATGATGATAAAATACTCGTATCCTTTTTAATATTTCAAGTATAAATATGAGTTTTATTTTACAATTAATCATTTTATTCTCCTTATTGAATTTATATAAAATTTGAAAAAGGTATGTGTAATATTTAGGACAGAGAAGGACATAGGCTACTTATTTCCAGGTAAATCAAAATATCCTTGCATCGCGAACGAAGTTGTAGGGATAAAATGTATTTATCAAAATTTATTTAATTGGAAATTAGACAGTTACATAAAATGATCTAATTGTGTAGCTAATGTCTCTAACTTATTATTCATACAGACCTAAAATCCTTTTTATAGACATATTGTATGGTGTAAATTAATTTCATGAGTTGTATAAAAACTTTACATGGAACTAACGTAATAAGTATTTTTCCGTATGCCACACTATGGTGATATGTTGATTATCTACTATTAGATATATTTTATATATCTTTGTTTTTATAAAGCTACTTCGGTTTTTTTTACAACTTCTGTTTTACAATACAATATTTCATCGGCAGTAACTGACATTATAAAGTAATACAACCATAGTAAGAATGTATTAAAAGCTAATAAATACCTGACGACTGCACATGAGATTCCTTGTTAATTTTCTTTTCATATTCGAAACGTTTTTTCTGGACTACCTGATCAAAAAACAAACAAAAATGATATTATTAATACAGTTACTACCATGAAGCAGTTGTATTTGCATGGCTGTGTTTCGGTTTGAAAGGTTGGATATGGCAGTGAATTTACAAGGTACAGAGGAATAACACCTGAGTCCTCAGGAATGGAAACGCATGGGGGGTGTCTTTCACCTAACTGAAATTCTTAAACACCTACATAGATTACAGTGATTAAAATAAGTTAAATTTCATATTTTTTATAATTCATTAAATCACATATCTCTCTAAAAGCCGTTTAAGAGACTTATTTTGTTAAGATTTTGATTTTGTTCCGTTTCGAAAATCAGCTGAGATTCTGGCAATTTTTTCTTATTTAGTTGTACATGCTTGTACTATTCCAATAATTATAAACAAAAAAAGTACATAAAAAAAACATTTGCGAGGTAAAATAGAAAATACTTTAATTTGAATATAAAAATTGTTACCTTTTAAGTTAGTACAAAGATTGTGTTATAGTACCCAGTTATTTACTTAACCAATTGCGCAATGAGAAGACGGATCCAATGTTAAACAATATTAGATAAATAAACGTGTAAATGCGTAGATGAATACCTCGTCAGTGAACTTATGCGTGAGGTCAATATTGTCTTTCTGTTGCTTGGCATACGAAGTAAGGTTGAAGAGGCAGTCCGGCTGTAGCCACACTTTGAATAACCTCTTATTTATTATTGTAATCACTGTTTCCCGCGCTTGTAGATAGGGTGTATCTGGTTTGTGCTGGACGTCCATGCGCTCACCCATCGCTGTCTCTGTTAAAATCACAAGATAATTTAATTCTTTATACCTAAATATTTTTTTTTTTTATACTACGAAGGTGGCATACAAGCATACGTCCCTTTGATATCACCTTCATCCTTATTTTATATAAATGTAATTATGTTTTCAAAAAGTCAACGTAAATTCCACTTGTCCTCAATTTAGAAAGATAGAAATACATACCTATATATCTTCAAATGGTAAGAATTTTGAAAGTAGCATTTGAATCAAAATTTAATGATAATAAATATTACCAAATACAATGTCTAATGTGCACGCAGTGATATATTTGAGAACGTCGAACTTTCCTTTATCCAACTTTTCTTCAAGTCTTTCAAGTAAAATGTTGGCTTGTTCACTAATCACGTCCAAATATTCTTCTACAATTTTGTTACGGAATATTGGTAGCAAAACTTTTCGATGTGTTTTCCATAAGTCCACTGTAAAATAATAACAAGAATATGCTTAATAGATATCTGCTGTACAAGTTCATACCGAAGTGTAACAACGTATGATTTTATTCTGTTAATTTTCAAGATAATATAGATAATAGGATTTTTAATATATAAATATAATTTTCCATATATTTTTTATTTCGGTGCTACAATAGTTGTTTAATTTATTGTTCTGTCTTTTAATTTTATTCTATTTATATTATTGTAAAATACTTTTTTTATATCTTATATTCATCATATAAGCCTTTTACTGAATATAAGCCTCCCCCCAAGGGAGATTTATATCCAGTAGTTTTGCCAGTAGTTGCCACGCTTGACAGGCGGATCGGCAACCGCAATCAGACTTTAGAAATATTTTAATAGGGACGCTACTGCCCATTCCTCACCCTCCCTTAGTCCGCTCTTACGACACCCACGGGATAGGAAGGGGTGATCTATTCTATGCCGGGACCACACGTAATATATGTGTAATAATTAAATAATTGTAATTCCCAAGAATTACAATTATTTATTAATTAATTAAAATTCTAGAATAAATTACTGTTAATTATTTTAATGTACTTATTTAATTATTATTACCTTTTTCTTTATTTGCATATCAATTTGTTGAACAACAATAAAATCCATCACCCAAAAAGGTTTTCTTGAAAAATATTGTTTCTATAAATAAAGCAACCTTATTGTGATTCGGCATACGTAAGTATTGATTGTGATCTTTTAGTGCCTAGCTTCTATAATGCAAATTACACTTGTTCGTTCGTTATTTATAGGGATGATGTATGTATTTACCACTATGTCTAGTAAAAAATATGTTCATTGCATAGTATAATTAGCACTTACCTGGTGCAATAAAGAGACCGTGTCCTAACCAAGGTCTTAAAAAACGATATACTTTGTCTTTATCCAAGCAATTGTCTAAAACCACCTGTGCATCTTCTGGATTAGCGATAGCTGCAATAAAAAATTTTATTACAGTATTAGTTATCTTAACTGATCTTAAAGACTAATTAGTTACTGAAATATTTTGTAAATAATCAACTTTTCTCAGAATATTTCGGTAAAATAATTAATTGGACTTTGGCGCCTTAATATTTTTAATAAATTTAGCATAGACTGTTGTTATTGTTATTATCAAAATGTATTTAACTTTGTCCAATTTTGTATTCTCACTTATATGTATGTATGTACCACTATATATGTTATATAAATTCTGAATTCCACTAAATGTCAACAATGTCTAGTATAAATATAATTAATTGATATCTTTAAAAAAAACATCTTTTAATAATGGTAGAGAGGCAGACAAAATTTCAAAAAAATATTGTTTTGGCATATTTGGAGAAATAGAAATTTCTCCTATTAAAACCTCTTACATATTTTTTTAAATATCTTCTATTTACAGACATTGTCCAGTTACAATTTTCATATATTAGTAAAATTACTTGTTTTTTTGTGAAATTAGAACAATACGATAATAAATATAAAACATATAAAATAAAATTCACTTACCGACATACAATTTTGGACCAAGCCAAACTTTAACACAACCTTTATGTTGAAATGCTAAATTAACCAATTCTTGGATATTTTGAAACATTTCTACAAAAAATAAAAAATGCAGTTTATTTAAACAGTTTTCATATATACTTTCACAGCACATTGCGCTCTTTTATAATACATTAAAATTGACAATCTTACCTGCACTATCGATGTACAAATGAGTGATAATAAGTAAAGACAAAGCCAGGTCATGAGCCATCATCGTTTGTCATAATGAATTATTGAGGAGGAAAGAATTGTTAGTAATGTACAGCTTTATTGCTAGCAATATTTTTTTATTATATATTATACCCCCTGGAAAACATCGTGGTGAATTCTTGTGGAATTCATCACAAAGAGCATAACTTACTTGACTTCGTCCTCACCTATCATCTCTCAGTAGTGCTCTACCAGTGTATACCGAAAGTTTTTTATAAAAAAATGCCCCATAACCAACAATTTCTTTCTTTTAATAACTAAATTTAGAAAATGTCACTATAGATGAAAACATGTATTCAAAAAATATTATAAACGTTATATGTACCGCCACTATTATTAATAGTTTTTTAGTTTATTAGGTGCAAATAAAGAAAAATTACATAAGCATCTTAATTTATATTTAAACTAAGCATGTCCAAACTAAACTACTAGCCATGATGTTACCAATTACCTATTAAAATTCTCACATTTTACTTATTTATTATTAAGAAATTAATCAATACTATAAAATGTTTTCTCCAGTAAATGTTTTTTCATAGTCACATTAAATTCTATTATTTCGTCAATAATTTTTATTCACTTAGATATTTTGTTATAAAACCTAGGAGCCATACTAAAAATGTTTTTTACTGAACATAGATGTATTGTGCGACATTTGCCTCAGTTTATCGTTATTTCTGAAAGATGTAAAATTTTTAAATAAACCTAAATTGGACTGCACAAAATTTACTACCTTATAAATATACTTTAATGGAAATATCAAAATGTTTAGTTCTTTAAAATACTGCTTGCATGAATCAGTCTTTGAGAGTTTAAACATTTCTCGTATGCATTTTTTTGGGCTCTAAATACCTTAAATTTTATCTGTAGAATTTTCCCAATACATTATGCCAAACTGCAAACAGGAGTCACATATCCATGATATGCAGTTACCAGCTTGATTTTATTTGTAATATTTTAAATAATATATAATATAAAGAAAGATCTTGGGTCTAGTCAAGTCAGCCACCCCTGATCTATATAATGTCTGAACTTTTTTACACAGATTTCATGTAGAAACTCCGAATTTATATTTGGCCGGAGTAATATTGTCTGTGCCGGAGTCGCATAAACGCTATTTTTAACGTATTTTAGGGTCTAAAATTCATTCAGGTGCGATTTAAATTTAAATCTACATCTATATAATATAATATGACTAAAATCCAATGATGACCTAGATAATAATCATCAAATTTGTACGAATATATCCATATTTATGTAAATTTTAACTACGTTAATTCATATATGGATTAGATTAGCTATAACTACACTCACTCTCACTATTTCCCATGAAGTTCATAGCGCTCCCGAGAAGAGGTAATGTCAGAGGCTCCGGTAGTGATGCGGTCAATTTGTTCATGCGACGGAAGTACATCGTCCAGTATATCAAGTAGACACCAAATATTAACATAAATATGGCCAGGATAATCATGATTTGATCCTAAAGACAAACAATGCAACACTTTATAGTATTTTATAAGTGGTTTTTTTTTGTTTTATTTTTTTTTTGTATAGAAGTAGATAAGAACCGTAAGAAAAGTAGTAATAGTATTGTTTATTTTCTATGCAATAATATAGAATACATAATATTTAAGGCGAAAAACGCCAGCCTTAGAGATAGTATAGCTATTTATAACAATATGCAATTACTTTTAATCTAGTCAGGTCTTAAAGAAAATAAGAAAAAAATTAATTTTGGCATTAGAGACATAGCACCCAATAGTCGACACCTTTTTTAATAAAACGCACTAGACTATACATTTAGTCAAAGATTCGGGCATATATTTTTTAATCTTTTTTACAAAATATAATATTTTTTAAATGATATCCTTCATCGATTTTGATGATTTTTACAATTCATAAGATCCCATCACTCTTATCATATCCATTAATTTTTAGTATTCAGTAACTATATTTGTCACAGTCGAAATCAATATTTTTTTTCTAAAAAAAATAATAAGTTTTGTTTTTTAATTACTATTATACGAATGAATTCAATTTCAGGTTGTTAAATGATTAGCGTCAAGATATAAATCTTTATAAAATGAAGGACAATACATTTATATATGTATATCTGTTTGTGCCAGTTAAACCATGAAACCGATTTGATCTATATTTTATTTTGACAAATGACATATGTGACTGTATCATAATTAAATTAATAATATTACATGAAAAGTGCAATACTTACTAAATTATTTCCACTTTTGTTAGAATTGATTAACAATTAAAAGGTATATAATATCAAAGCCTGTATGCCTGAGGAAGTTTGAACCCAAACAGATAAATGGTACAAACATACTCTATTCTATATAGCTTGACAATGACTACTTGTCGACACTTGGCAGGGCAGTTTGCATCTAAGTTCATATATCTTGTACGTTGTTAGCATATTACCAGTTCCACGTAAATATACAAGACTAATCCTGTATGATTTATGCGTTTATGATATTTGAAACTTTGTCACGTACTTTAAATCTGAAATTATTTTTAATGTTTCGCATTAAAAAAATAATAAGTAAGTATCAATTATAACTATTACATTGTCTTCAACTCCAAAAATTTTACTCATTCTTTTAAAGATTACAAAATATCAACTATTACCTGTATAATGTTACAAAGCACAAAATATAAATGATTGTATCATTTTAGGTTTTGACGTATTTGCATTCTTGAAGTATTTAGACTTTGAAGTCCTTAGACTAACACCAAAATACCTGAATACCAAAAAAGGGCATCACAGCACATCACTAGTCTAAATTAGCACGTACTCAGCCTAATAATTATGCAATTGGTTTGCGTTGTATTGCACGGCATAAAAGGCAGTAGTACGATCTAACTTGAATATGAGTGACGCACTTCAACGGCGGGGCATCTCTACAAGTCCCCTAAAGAAATTATTATATAAAACTGAAAGAACTTTGCAAGTATTTTGAGTTAATCCATAATCATCTACTCGAGTAGAATACCTGACAAAAGGTACCTGGCATACCCTTTCCCACATGAATTGAGATAAAAGTACTCTACAATGTTCCACATATGTCACCATCGTCATTATATAAGTTGTTAACTGTCCACTGTTGAACATAGGCCTCCCCTTATTGGGGCTTTTTTGCCAACGGCAATTAGACTTTGGTGATGTTTTAGGAAGGTCGCTTGCTCATTCTTCGACCACTTAATGGTCTTAATCAACAAAAGACTTGAAATGGAAAATGCATCTATAAAATAAAGTAACATGACATCTAGCAGTGATATTGGAATATAATTTTAAGGACAACATACGAAAACTTCAAGATCTAAATATAAATATAATAGTAATAAATGTATAGAATGTTAATATGTATTAAATAATGTATAGAATAATTAAATATAATAGAATAAATATAATATAATAATATTGTAATAATATAAATGGAAAATATAAGAACAAGGAAAACAGATTGAATGCTAGGGACTTATTGTGAATAAGTAACCCTTTAGCATAAGGAATGTAAGCAAATAAAAATTATTATAATATAAGTAATGTAAAATACCAATAAGAGCATAGAGAGAATGTAAAAATATAAATGTAATATAGAACATATGTAATATAATAAATAATATATTAAATAAAGATACAAAACAAAACGACAACAGAATAATAAGAGGTAAAAATAGGGACTTATATACCCATATATAAATAAAACCCAGATAACCGAAAACAGTTGTGTAGACAGTAGGACAGGAGCCATAGACAATATACAGGCCGGGGATTGCGATCCTTCTGCTTATAGCAGATACAAAGCAAAGACAAAATAAAAAACTTGGTCAAAACAGAATAAAAATCAAACGAAAGAAATTAAAAATAGGAAGGCGAATGAAAGAATGGAAGGAAATGGCAGGACAGATCGAGTGGGTAAATTGGATGGAAAATAAAATTGATAAACAACCTGGAACTCAATATCCGGGAAATAGCTGCTCTCCTAGGGGGGAGCAATAAAAAAATGGTCTTAATTACCTCTTATGATATCCATGGAACTCGTCATCTTCAACGCCTTATTTAGTAATCGCAGAAATCGTCCTCTATTCATTGATTAGCTTTTATCCTCGATTTCATCCGCGTGACCCAATTTTATTCAATGACCGGGATAAAAAGTAGCCTACGTGCTTCTCCACCTCATACAATACCAAATAGTGGTTGGTTAAATACTTAAAGTGCTACAAGGTAACAAACAAACACTCACTTTCATATTTATAATATATAGTAAGGATTAGTTACGTCTACCTATTCATTAGCACAATGCTAATGAATAGGTAGACATGACTTATCCTTATAATATTTTATATAAAATGCATCTCACACTTTTTTTATATATTTAATTTATATGTGTACTAGCTGTCTACGACATTGTCTAGATGACCGAGACATTATTTTAAGATATAAAAATGTAATAGTTATCCCTAGTTGTACTCTTGGTATATACCGCCATATACAAGTGAAGAATAATAAATAAGGATGAAATCAGGCCATTGGATTCATCATAACAAATTAACTGGGAATTGATCATGATGGTTTCCAGGGACCATAGCGTGGAAGTCGACCTGACAGGGTATATTGCAAGCAATTAGGTTTCTAGCCCCCATTGCTAACAGTCCTGTTCTCCTAACCTAGGATATATTGGATGACCAGGATAAAAAGTAGCCTATGTTATTCTGCCTTATATACCAAATACTACGTGTACAACGCGTTTCACAATCACTTCTGTGTTCTGGATCGTTCGGATCAGTATTTCATCAATGATCAGTGTATTCTGACGTCTCAGTGTGCATATTACATTGTCCTTAAATAACAAAAAAATAGATACTTAATTATTGCAAATATAAACCTTTCATTTTATATACTTATATAAAAACAAACAAAAACTCTCTTATAGTTAAAAGGCGAAACGATCAGCACATAGCTTCCGAGTTGTAATCTATTAATTGTTTGATGATGCTTAGGAGTACACATTATGCAATATGGATGTAGATTTAATAACTAAGATTGATAAATAATATTGATCACTAATAAAGTCATAAAACCTCATATATTTTTTCAAATGTACCATAATTGTAAAATTTTAAACTTAATTCCTGTGACTCCAATATTACTTAAAACAATGCAATTTGTCCATATAAAACTACCCATACCCCTTTCATGACGATTAGTTGAAAATTAGTTGTTAAAAAATGCAGATTTGAAAACTATAAAAAAATTCGAAACAAAAATTCTTGTGACAACAAACTATTAACAACCTATGCATCGAGTATCACGAAGTTTGATCATCAACTGTATTCAAATACAATTCCATTATTGGAATAAGCGACAGATCAAATATGTTTCATGTAGGATGTTTGTCGTACCACTATAGTATCATTCGTAATAATACTTGCGTATAGGCGCGTAGTGTCTATATATGTACTATTCGTTCTTAAATTTATATCACAGTAAACACTTTTTTTTTTATTAGAATTTAATTGAAAACTTTCAAATAAATACAACCTAATTTAAAAATATTCAGCCATGATTGTATTCATATTAATAACTGTCTGTGTTGTTCTGTATTATATAAAATTCCGATATTTTCGAAAACATTTATATGAACTATCTGATAGTTTACCTGGTGTTGGATATTTGCCGATTCTTGGACACATACACTGGGTTATTGGAGGACCGGAAAGTAAGTAAAGACTTCTTTATATGCTGAGTTTTTTTTTTTTTTGGGTACTGTAGAAATATTATTAAAATATTAAAATCATATTTCAATAAGGATCTAGCGAAGCAGTATCTTGACTGGTAAAAACACTAGCTACAGCATGGCATAGAAAATACGGGTTCAAATCTGGTCCGTTTTAAATTTTTTACAATAATATTTATATGATATGAGTTTCATATTTTAATAATATTTATAAACATTATTTATTTACAATATTTACATCTTAGCTAAACCCCATGTCTATAAAAAATATATATTTATTCATCTAAAAATAAATAAACACGTTTCTTTTAAATTTGATTATAAACTTTATTATTGTTATTGTACACATGCTTTCCTGGGTGAGCGTATTGGAAGACTGTAAGGCTCACCCAGTGGATGTAATAAATAAATAAATAAATTATTTTGTAATCACACTTAAAAAAAATTAAACCAACTCATATTTTACTGGTTTTATTTCTTAAAATATAACTTTGTAATGGCTGTAATGCTCGCCAGGGAATATATTATTAATAATTAAGGGAATTATTGATAATAATATATTCCCTTAATGGTTATAACAAAATTAAATTTTAAAAAATAAAATATAAAGAGTACGAGTTGGGTTTACAAATCGAGGATGCTGTATATAAAATAATTTATGTTGTGTGTTTTCTTTAAATGAAAATTAATTTTAATCTGCAAATGAGATAAAGTTATAATATCTTTTGTACTCGAACAAATATTTTTTATGATCGTATAATTTTTGCAGTTTACAGTTTGTATTTGCACATATTTACGAAATCTACTATTGTTTGAAAGAAGCAATTAATAGTTTTTTTATTTATTTGTTTATACTTTGTTGTACACAAAAACTACATTGTAATAATCTATATTAAATGAAGATGTACAACAGGTAAGCTTAACTGTAAGAGTTCTTTCTCTTCCAGCAAACATTTAACTTTTTTGTTCATTTATCTTAAGTAAAACTACATTCTCAATCGATTAAAATTATAAAAAATGCTGAAATAGTAAAATGAAATAATATTTACTTTCATAAAAAGATTTTTTTTCTAAAATGTTTAATATATTTCTTATTTGAATGAAACATTTAATACTATATCTTAATTATATAATAAAATTGTAACTAGACGAGGAGTCTTGATAAAAGCAACAGAACCCGAAACAATAACTTATCGAAATTTTGTCTGTTTGTATGTTAGTTCCAGCATCACGGAGAAGCTATTCCATCAAATTAGACACGATTTCCACAGTTGTGTTCCTTCAGATCTAACTTGAAATCTGTTGTATGTTTAATCTTGATACGCTACGAAAATATACATATGTACTACAGGAGTTATTTAAATATAGTCACCGTATGATATCGCGGATAAAAACTCATTATTTTTGCATTATACATGTATAATATATACACTGAATAGGTAAATTAACACTTAGTTTTTATTTCAGAAATATACAAGAATATTCAAAGACTGGGAGAGTTAATAGAAGGAACTGGCGGTATAAGTAAAATTTGGATTGGCCCATCCCTTTATGTTGGTTAGTATTTTTATTACCTATAATCAATTATATTGTACATAGTGATTTATTAGCGAAATAAGACTAAGAACAACAATGATAATTATCATAAATATGTTAGAATGACAACTCACGACGCATCTTCACCCTTATTAATATTATAAAAGGCAGTTTGTTTGTTTATTTGTTATTCTTAGCATCTTAACCTCAACCAGCTGTTGTGAAATTTGATTTACAAGTGAAGTTTGAGATAAAGAACGGTCCCAAATATCATAATCTACTTTTTATCTTGGTTAATAAAGATATGACATATGTTATAAGCAATATGCTAATAATTATTCGGGAAATATACTTAATTTATAATAAAATATAAAATTGAAGATAACATGTTTTTTTTATATACTGATCAATAAAGAATAAATTAATTAATGATAAAAAAAATTAAAATTACGGACTTGGCACTATTTATCAACTCACAATTTTCAACAATGTAATGATTCAATGCGCAACTTGGCTATAACGCAAATAATATACGTTTATACTAACTATATCCCGTGGTTTAACCCATAATGAATGAGTATATAAAACGTCCTACATTAGTATTAATAGTGTACCAAATTTTGTTCAAATTCATTACTATTATATACTATATAATATTCTTCCGTAAAAGATTAACGAATATCCATCTATATATTCTCACAAACTTCCGAATTTATAATAGAAGTAAGATATTTTTTTATGATGATAATGGAATAGTAAACCCTGCCCGCACTATCAGTATACACCAAAGGGGCACCAGTGACGGATGATAGGTGAGGATGCAGTCAGATTAGTTGGCCCATCGTGACCAATTAACTCGAAATTAACCACGATGATTTTCAGACTGCATGGAGGTTAACCCGACGAGGTCTATTGAGCAATTAAACCCTATTACTAATTCACAACAATTCCTTCCCTCCAGTAGTTGAATATTATAATTGACGCATATTTAATGCCAAAAATATAATCCACGTTGCACACCATCATCAGAGGCAAATTGTTGACTGTTACCATTGTGAACAACGTAACTAGCCATGTCTACATTCGCCAAGAACATTTTAAATCCAACGGTGGCGAGGAGCGAACTTACCATTCTCATTCATCACGTTAATGTTTTTAAACATTTATTTTCAGTAATATCTAATCCAGAAGACGTGCAGAAGTTATTGGAAACCTCACTCGAGAAAGATTCTTCATATAGGTTTCTTCGGACATGGTTGGGGAATGGCCTTTTTGTAGCTCCTTGTAAGTATATTTACTTAGTAACAATCTTAGGTAACAATATTAATAGCATTACAGAGTATTTATATAGTTGTTAGCTTCCTTGCATTCTTTTTTCATATAACCTGATAAATAGTAGGAACCTTCGCATATAGACATGAATCGTATCATGGACATTACAAAATGCCATGTCATGTAACACCCATGCTGGCCATCACTCCTAGAAACTAATTACCCAATAATGTCACTGACATATAGTTATCAATCAAACAAAATTATTTGAGGAGTTGTCTATATCTTTTATACTTTATACAGAATCTCATACAGATATACGTATATATATATATATATATATATATATATATATATATATATATATATATATATATATATATATATATATATATATATATATATACTTTTCAATCGACTTCAAAAAGTTGTTTGTTACCTTAAAATTCCATCATTTATAAACCAATTTGGAAAGTTCTTTTCTGAAAGGATAATACATATTGATCAAAATCGTCAGTTTTTTTAAAGAATACAATCTTATATTCTTACAACATAATAGGGGAACAAAGCAACTGTAATTATATATATGGAGATATATTAAAAATTCCGGGTACGTCGAAATTAAAAAACGTCTATTTATTATTATTACGTTGTAACAGTATAATGTATCGTAACGCCATGCTTGCAAAATTAAATTTTAATTCAATTGTACTCTGAACGTTACAAATATAATTTTAAAATATTAATGATTCCAGTGAATTTATGGAAAAGACAGAGGCGAGCCCTCGTACCAATATTCGCCAATCGAGTTATAGAGGACTACATAGAAGTATTCCATAACGAAGCAGTGACCCTTGTGAAGCAATTAGATGAGAACTTGGGTAAACCAGAATTCGATGTCTTCAAACACATCACATCTTGCACGTTGGACATTTCATTTGGTGAGTAGTTATGAAAAATCATTAAAAATATATTAACAATAGTAAACAATACACGTAGAAATAATTATAATTAAAGTAAAAAAAACACTTCAAATCTTTATTTTTATATTATGATTTACCTAAAATATCGGCAAATAGAAAGCGGAGGATATGCAATTAAGTATATGGAAAAGTTTCTAATTTTTCACAATGATGCTGTTATAAAATGACTTGCAAGTTCATAACATCGTGATTAAATTATCACGACGGCAAAATCATGTCCATTATATCAGTCAGTAACTGTTCACTGCTGAACATAACCCACAAGGGAGATTGTGCCAGTTGTTGCCACACTTGGCAGACGGGTTGGCGATCGCAGTTAGGCTTTGGTGATGTTTTAAGAGGGACGCTGCTGTTCATCCCTCGACCATTAAATTCCCTTAGTTGCTTCCTACAACGCCTACGGAAATGTACGGCCCATTCTACACCGAAACTACACATATTTCTTATGAGGATGTAACCACGTCAAATCTACTTAATGTGAAAGGACATGGAGATGTTGGGATTTGAATGTTTATTACTCGATCACACTTAAATGACTGAATGGACTTGATTGAAGTTTATTACACGGGTAGAACTTAACATATAGAATACTTTATATTCCAAAAGGCAAAACCATAGGAAACATGTAATACAACTATAAAGGTTAATATAAGCAATATATACACGTATAAGTCATTTTAAAGATGCGATATTTCTCTATTCCAGAGACGGCAATGGGTGAAAAAATGGATTTACAACATACAGCAGATTCAGCTTACCTGCATGCGCGCAACTGCGTTATGTCTATTATAAATATGCGTATATTCAAACCATGGATGCAACCAGATGCAATATTTAAACTGACACCCTATTCAAAAACACAGGAAGAAAATATTTATCTAACACGTAAATTTACTGAGGAGGTACGTTATCTAAAAACAATGAAAATTATAGTGAGATGTTATCATAATAATAGTGTCATTACAAGGTATAGAGTCATGATACTTTAGCTTTCAAGAACGTAACACATGAGGAGTACTATGAACAAGACAGTTTCCATAATGTCCATAGTATTGTTTTTGTCTATAGGTGACGGCTACCACTTTCCGTCAGGTAGACCCTTGTCGCTTGATGAACTTGTTTGCTTTTCTAATCCATAAAAAGGTATAGGTATAGATAAAATTAGTCCATTTTTAAATCCATTTTATAAACAAGATACCCACCGTGATTGTACTCCTTATATTTTGATGCTGTTTCAAGCGCCATGTGTACTTAAAAGCGTCACGGTAAATAACCTTGATGTAACTTTAAACTACCTTTAGACAATTTTTCTGTACAGCTACAGAACTCAGTTACCTAAAATGTTGTTTTGCATGAATATTTTAAAACTGTAATCTTTTAGAAGTGTCAAATGGATAAAAAAAAGTGGGTATATTTATATCGAATGTTCAATTCTTGGCTTACATCTTCACTTTGTCCATAAATTTAAATTCTATCAGGTGGTGGTAAAATCCTCAAATAAACTTAATTAACCAAAGAAATTGTTATAAACTCACCCCCTGCTACAGGTTTGATTATATTAAATGAAATATGTATAAAATAAGTGTATCTTTACCAGTATAATAATAGTAAACAAATGTCTTTAATTACCTCATCTGAGATTGCTGTCGTGAATATATTTATTTTTCTCTAGGTAATAGCAAAAAGAAGGATTATGCATCAAAATGGTATTTATAAAGAAGGTATGTACAATAGCATTTTTCATTTCTTATATCAATTTGTAAAACCAAATTTGTAAACCAAAATGCTTACTTGTTCCTTCTTGTTCTTTTTCAAGCAATTTTTCCATATTTGTTTAGGTTCGGCGTAATGTATTTTCTACTCTCTTTCTACCTATATCGTCTGTGTATGTATATATAAACGTTTATATTTTTTCAGGGCGAAAGGATCTGTTGGAATTGTTATTAAGGGAAGATGAAACAAAATTCAACAATAAGGAACTTCGGGAACATTTGGATGCTATTACAATCGCCGGCAACGACACAACAGCGCTCACTATATCCTACACGCTTTTATTATTGGGGATGCATCAACGTGAACAAGAATTAGTCTATAAAGAGTAAGCCATAAAGATGTTTAAAAAACGTGTATCTACTCCTGGGTGCAGATAATCTATACCAATATAATAATAAATTATTTGTTTGATCTCGCTAGCCTATGAAATTACCAATAGAATTTGCAAAAATCTTTTTAACATTTCTTTTTTATATTCATCGTCATCATTTCAGCCATTATTCGTCCACTGCTGTACATAAGCCTTCCCCATAGTCTGCCATAAAAAACCTGCTTCCACTGACTCCCTGCAATGCATTTCAAGTCATCACTCCATCCAGTGGGGGTCGTCCTACACTACGTTTGCTCGTACGGAGTCGCCACTCAAGAAATTACTCAGATTACATGAAATATTTTTTATATTAGTATAGATTAAATATTTTAACAATGTTTTTATGGTAAACTCTTACTTTACAGTTTACCATTGGGTAAACTGTGTAAATCTATGTAAATAATTGGATTTACATAGTTTTCGTCGGCATTATCATTTTTGTGTTCAAGTCCAGAGCATGAGAAGTAATCGTGAATCTTAGGCACCTTTTTATAAGATATCAATAAAAAAGATTACATAGATAACTGATTATCAGGTAATATTGATATGTTTTATTTGACATATACAACATATAAATATTCTCTACAATTTTTTTCTTAGATAATCCGGATAACAAACAAAATGTTTTGTCCTCGTAGATAACCAGTTCTAATTTGATTGTTTTTCAAGAATATTAACTAATGACTATATGGAAAAATAGTTTTAGTTATATAATTAGACTAAATACACTAACTATATTTAATTTGTTAAATATACTAATTGTAAATTTTATTTCATCTTGTACATATGAGTAGAACCTGGTGAAATAAACTCACACCCACATAAACTAGCCCCAATACTTAACCTAAGATATATACATAACCGTTATAGGGAACGTCACGAAGGAAGGTACGATATCGTAATAAATTATACGTGCTTATTGACTTAAATTGTTCCAGATTACATGAAATATTTGGGGACTCTAAGAGAACTACTACAAAGGAGGATTTATACAAGATGGAATATTTAGAAAGAGTAATAAAGGAGACAATGCGCCTTTATACGGTGACACCCATAATTGCGAGAGAAACGAAAAGTGAAGTAAAATTATGTTAGTAATTTCCTACTTATTTTACAGTGCTATATTTTCAAATAAATATAACTATTAAGAACTAAATAGAAATATTTATATCATTATAAGTTCTTAGGAACTTGTTGCAATACAGTGACAACACTGCAGTACAGTGAAAACACTGGAACAGTATACGAGTAGATTTTACAAACCACGTTATATTTTTTTAAGTGAGAGTGTGCCTATATTTATAGCAAATATCCTGCACACAATCTACATTTATTGTAGAAAAGAAAGTGATAACTTTGTCTATAATCAGTTTACGCTGCCGGAGTATCATTAACAGATGTAAAATGAGGTTGAATTCAGACCAATCATTACGAATTTACTAGGCGTTACTCACAATGGTTTCCAGGAATATTGCGTGAATGTCGACATGACAATATATCCTATATTGTTAGTAATAAGGCTACCGATAGGCTACTAACAATATCCACTACTACTAACAAATAGCTACTAACAATTTATATTTATATCTTGAAATTGAATCATTTTTGTTGTAGCTTCCTGTACGTTGCCACCTGGTGTCGCCTGTATTGTACCACTATTTTTGATACATAGATCTAAGAAACTATGGGGACCCGACTCTGAAAGCTTTAATCCAGATCGATTCCTGCCTGAAAACAGTATTGATAGACATCCTTGTGCTTACATACCCTTTAGCCACGGACTTAGAAATTGCATAGGTAAGTATTAATTCATTGATATTGATGTAGGAGAAAAAGGCACTTTTAAATCATTGATAGAAAAAATAAAAACTAAATGTATGTACACTAAAAAAACTAATTAAAATGAATTTATCATCACAATACAATGCAAGAACTAAATGTATACAATTGTGTGGAGATGATAGTAATTTTCTCCACCTATATTATAGACATATACGGAAATTAAAAATCATCCAACATAGAACAAAAATGAGATATTTTTGTTTATTTAATTCGTAACAGTTTTAAATGTAACAAATGTGAATCTTCTTTTTCTTATATCAGTTTATATATTCATTATATTAATCAATTGTTAGTATTATTGTTGTTATTATTCCATTGTTTCTGCCTACCCTAATGGGAGACAGGCGTGACAGATATGTATGTATGTATGTATCAACCAAAAACCTGTTAAATTTAATAATACACAACATGCTAATTTTAAACATATGAAAGTTAATTATGCGTTATAAGAAAATAAGATTCAAAATATAACTTTATAATAAGAAAACTATACTTATATATAGTTATGTGTAAAGGTTATCTATATATAACATTTCTATTTGCAGGTAAAAAATACGGAATGCTTGTAATGAAATGTGTTCTTGGAAATGTGTTGCGAAATTACAAGGTGACAGCAAAAGCTTGCGACCGTCTGAAAATGGAAATACTTTTGATTCCAGTTTCCGGGCATCTTATAAAATTAGAAAAAAGAACCTAAAGCTATTTTTGGAAACAGATTATAAACTTTTTTTTAATAAAATATAAACTACAATCATTATTTTATCAGATTGTAAACTTTTTTTTTAATAAAATATAAACTACAATAATTTTTCTATTTTTATAGACAGATCTTCGTCGCCCAGTTCGATCGGTCGTAGCCCAGTGGTATTCACTGAGTTATTGACCGCAAAGGTTATGAGTTCGTATCTAAAGACAGCTGTCAATTGTTGCAAAAATTATCAAATAAATAAATCTAACTTACAAATATTATCCTTAATTCAAACCTACAACCTTATGTGATTGGTAAAAAAGATATGTCATTTAGAACGAAACTGTTATTCGCTAAAACAACGAAGCGTTGTCTCATTGTTTAATTGGAAGATTGATAATAAAAAATGTCATACAAAGTTTTGTTGTCGTTGAAATTGAAACCTCCGAGAACTAATATCATCTGTGTCCCCCCTCCAATAGACCTGTGGGTAAAATAATAAATAAGTAAATTACAACACTTTTCTATGATGTTTCTGCTATTAAGCAAGTGTGCTTACATGGTGGTACTTCGGTTCGATGGATGAAATATGACATCAAATTTAATGTAAATTTCTATTGAAGCTTTATGTGATGTTAATATAAAAACAGCGGACAATATTTTGGTATCGTTATTTTTACTTAACACTTCTTTTACATGAATCTTTATCTAAAAAAAGGCACACAGACAAAAGACAGCACATACTAATAAATAAAAATAATATAGGTATTGCCACCTTCCAAAAATAAGACTGGGTGTCTTATTAAAACATGTTACCAGCTAGAAACGATATATTAATGTTTTTGGAACTTTATTGAAATAAACTATATATTCCAACAAAAATAACACGACACAAAAGCGTAATCTCAATAATGATGACCACACCAACTGTAGTGTATTCTCTGACACTCATGGATTTGTCCATGATGCTACATCTACCGTTCATGTCTACATAACGATTATCTACCACTTTTCATCAGATGGGCATCGCGGCGCTAACTTGTTTACCATATCATGTTGCATAATAAACTCTCAACTTATAGAAAAATAATAGGTAAGTATAGACTTTACCTATTCCTATCTGTATTAGTGTTATAATAATACTGTTTAAATTCTGTATTTAACTTCGAATACGCTACAATATAACTGATTATACATACCAATCAATTTCAAAGTATGTAATTAAATTCTGATCTTATCTATTTTTACGACTACGTTTTTATTGGTTTTCACATAAGAATAACGAATTAATACAAAATAAACATTTTTTTAAACTTTGTATTCTTTATATTATTAGCTAAACTAACCTCCAGAGGGAGACTTTGTACAAAAGTCGATTGCTTGGATACCTCTGTCCCATTCGTGTTTCAACCGTGAAGCAGTTGTGTTAGCATGATTGTGTTTCGGTTTGAAGGGTGGGATATGGCGTGAATTTACTGGGTACAGCGGAATAACACCTGAGTCCTCAGAAATGGCAACGCATGGGGGATATCATGGGCGAAACAGTATACTCTGTTACGTCCATGATACTGCTCATGTCTATAGGCGACGGTTACCACTTTCCATCAGGTGGGCCGTCAGCTTGTTTGCCATTCTAAGTTTTATAAAAAAAAAAACCTCCATGGGATTCCAACTAGAAACCATTGTAGTTAATTCGTGTTAAATTCGTCACGATGGGCTGCTTTCATCCTCGCCTATCATCTCTCCCTGGTGTCTCGCCAGCGTATACTGGTAGCGCAGGTGGGGTTAAAATTCCATATTTGTCCATTTAAAAAAATGTTACGAACGTTAATACAAAACTTATTTATTAAACACCTCTGACATTATATCGATAGTAGCTCAGTATTATTACACTCAACAAATCGACAAAGGTTTTTCTAATTTTTACAAAAGCGAAGGACAACAATTTTAATTATGGGTAATTTTGATCTTTTTCTATTTTAATTTATTTTACTATTAATTATCCTTGTCTAATATACAGAAATAATGGTAATATACAATTCTTATTTAAAGAACGCCTGTTGATATTCTATTAAGAACATCTCATTAACTCGTCAGTATTGTTTATTACATTCAATGTCAACATAGGCGCTTATAGTTTTTATATAATTGAAGAAAAAAAGGAAAAGCATAATAAAAGTTTATAGGTACATAAATAATTTTATTAAAGTGGGTATATCTAATATTCAATTACATAATATCTACAAGGCTACAGATTATAAAATGTACGTGAATTACGTAATGCTATAACGAAAATATATCCAAAATCAGTTTTTTCAATGGACGCTTAAACAATATTATTGTATATTAATCAAGCTACCAAACTCCATTTGTATTCACTTCCTCATAGTATCCAATATTTTTTATAAGTAATATGAAAGATTGAGCGTGAAATGATAACCCAATTTGCACTAATAATATACTACTAGTTTGAGATTCTAAACTAGTTCTTACTCTGATACTTAGACGACCCCTCGTAAAGAATTCACCAGGTAGAGTATGATGACATACGGCACAAATTGAGGTTAGTTTTCACCCGGTGACAATATCATAATATTAATGAAACTGTGCAGTTTTTCTCAAGAGGCATGGTCGATATCTGAAAATATTTTTAAACCTTTCATACTAAATCAATCATGTGACCTTATCATCATCATCATATCAGCCTTTAACTGTCCGCTACTAAACATGCCTCCCCCTTGGGTGGTTTTGCCAGTAGTTGCCACGCTTGGCAGGCGGATTGGCAACCACATTAGGGCATTAGAGATGTTTTAAGAGGCACGCTGCTCCCTTAGTCTGTTCTATCGACACCCACATGAAAGGTAGAGGCCCCATGACCCCATAGTTTATATTAAATAAAAAGATTATATAAACACTAAATGCATATAATAAAAGAATTTAAAGTACACTTAATTACATATTACATACTTTAAATTATTTTACAGAATACATTTAATTACATAATATGACATTGTATTAAGTAATAAAGTAGATATAAACTAAGAACTTTATTAGGTTTAATAAGACCATATAAACGATTCTTTCTAATCTAAATCTAAATAAATTATACAATATACACTATTTATATTTGATTTGACGATCTCCGTGGCGCAGTGGTATGCTTTGCGCAAATGAGATCCCGGGATCAATTCCCAGTTGGGTCACTTTAAGGGTTCGGGTGTACTGGATACCTCCAGATGTCCGCTACCTGGATCCTCATTACACAGGTAATCCTAGCTTGAGAAACCGGTGAGTGGTGTGATTTAATTATTCTTTACTAGTTTTAACTGCAAGTTCGCCCGCGTAACGGAAACGTGCTTACTGACTGATACAAAAAGCAGCCTATATCCTTCTCCATTCTATATAGTACATGTTTACCAAATTTCGTAGTGATTGTTCGTCTATTAAGGCGCTATAAGGTAACAAACAGGCAAACTCACTTTCACATCTATAATATTAGTAAATACTAACCACATTCCTAAAAAAATATCTGGTACAAAATGCAGATTAATACTATATTAAGTCGGCATTGTAATTATGCAGCACTTTTATTATTATTATTTTACTAATCTTATTTTAATAATATAATAAAATTGTAATTAGACGATATCTGTACATATATTAAATAATATTAAAGAAAAAAATAAGATGAGGGGTCTAAAAAATACTAATAGATGCCAAAACAGTTATTTTTAGAAATTTTGTTTGTCTGTGTATCTGTTTGTTTTGGCATCACGCAGAAACTATAGCACAGACCCAGAAGTGGTTTTCATAGCTATGTTTTTGAAAGTCTAATTTAAAATCTGGTATGTTAAATATTTCATTTTAATACGCCATCTAGAAATGGTCTAATTCATGTATTTTATTATTAATGAAATCCACACATGCGAAATAATGGGCAAAAGCTAGTTATTATACTATAAAAATGTGCTGCACTTTCAAAATAATTCTATGAATTTATATGATATCTATACATTTATTTATAGCTAATAACTTTCGCTTGTAATTTCTATTCACCATGTGGGAGTCAGAAGATAACTAACGCCTACCTATTTTCAGTATACTTACACGTATTAGAAATCACAGTGACTCATCAAATTCACAATTATATTCATATCAATAAAAAATATCTACAAACTTAAGTGAAGACGAATCAACAAATTTGCATTTTACTGTCTACTAACTATATCACGACTTCGCTAGCGTACTATATGTCAATACATATAGTATCCTATATACTAAGTTAGGATATAACCTATCTGTGTATCAAATTTTATTCAAATCCGTTAATTCATTCATCCATCCTTATAAATGTTCGCATTTACTAATATTGTAAAGATAAGATAAGATTTATCTAGGATTAGTCAAGAGGATCAAGGAAATAAAAATTAGTAATAATTAATTACAGGTTATAGAGACATAATATCTTAGTTCTCTGGAAGAGCAACACTAAACATGATGCTCACACGACGGTGACAGTCCTACTACTTTCCATCGTGGTGGGTCATCAGGTCATATCGAGCCTTTTCAGGAAGAAGATCGTAAGCGCCAAAAATTCCAAAAACTTTTTTTAATATGAACCGCCAGATCTACTGATTTTACACCTTATAGCTTATTTTAGAGTTCAAATTAGAAATGTAATTAACTTTATTAATATTCTTTGTTTTTATCGTAAGTTACAAGCCATTCGGTTTTTTAACGTAACCTCCACCGACTGACAGATCGTAAGTATAATACCTGTCGCTTACAATATAGTACTAGGTTCTTAAGTTTATTGTAAGCTTCCTACTTGGCACTTACGATAATAAATTTATGCAACGTAAGTTAGATACTTGTCACTTGCGGTAGAAACAAAATGCGTTTTGCGTTGAGTTGTTCGTAAACTGTAACATTATTATACTCAAATAAATTAAATATGAATACCATAAACTTTGATAACTATATCAGAAAAGTTGCCAGCAGTTTTGAAAACCTTTGATATTTCGCAAATGACACTGCGTTACATTAAATTGCATAAAATTGCAAGTTTAAGTCAAAATCTGACCAACGCGGCAAAAGCACGCT